CCCCCCTCAACGGCGCATGACCTCATGCGAGGCGCCCTTGCCCATCTCCCACCCGGAACGGCATCGTGCTTCAGTCAGCGGCGAAGGCATCGGCTGAAAGTTGAGACCACCAAAGACAGCGGCATTGAGGCGGCGAGGGGCGTTTGGGTTCTTCCGGTGGAAGTCGGCTATGAGGGCCGGCGCATTGGCAACGTTGCGCGCCGGTTCCCATGACGTATGCGAATCGTCATAACCCTTCCACTTGACGAGGTACTGCAGCTGGCGCCGGAAGATCCTTGAATCTTTGATCCGCTCAACCTCGTACTCCTCGTCGCCCTCAACCTCAATCGCAGGCGGCTCCTCCGGCTCTCGGCCCGGGATATCGCTACGCGTGTACTTGCTAAGCAAGGAGACATGGAATACCGGGTGCACCGGCACCGACTTCGGCAGAACTAATTCGTAATCCAAGTCTCCGAGCTTTCGCCGCACGGCATATGGTCCGAGGCGCTTGGGACTGAGCTTCTTGCTCGGCTGTTTCAGCTTAAGGTTCCGGGCATCAAGCCAGACCTTGTCCCCCGGCGCAAAGACTGGTGCCTCCTGCACGTGCTTGTCGTAGTATACTTTCATACGCTCGGCTGACAGCTCGAGCGCAGAGCGCGTATCGTCGCGAATCTCCTTTAGAATCTTAAGCCGGTCGGCGGCAGCGGGCATCGCGGACATCGGATTGATCCGAACCTGGATTTCAGGATTGTACCCTTGATGCAGGAAGAATGGGGAGTGCCCGGTCGCGGAGTGAACTCGGTTGTTCAGTGCGAATTCCGCGAGCGGCAATTGCTTTGCCCAATCATCCTGCCTGTGGCTTGTGAAAGCACGTAGGTACTGTTCGATCTCCTGATTCCAGCGCTCCGTCTGGCCATCTGTCTGAGGATGGAACGCTGTAGACAGCGCCGGCTCGATTCCTAGCCCCTTGTACACCGCGTGGAGGTATTTCGAAGCAAACTGGGGACCTCGGTCTGATATGACCTTGGCCGGGGCCCCATGATGCTTGAACACATCGCGGATGTACAGGTCTGCCGCTCCTTCTGCCGTCAGGGTCTCATGACAGGCCGAGAAGTGGACCTGCTTTGTGAAGCGGTCGGCAGTAACCAGGATCGAGTCGAATCCATCAGACTTTGGCAAGCTGACGATCATATCGGTCGTGATGATCTGCCATGGTCGCTCGGGGATCTCATTCGGCTTCAGCGGACCCTGGGGCTTGGCTGGAAATGTCTTGGTACGGTTGCACACGTCGCAGGTGCTTACGTACTCATTAACGAATTTGGACATTCCAGGCCACCAGTAATTCCGTGATACGAGCTCAAGGGTTTTGGCACGACCGCCATGACCGGCGATCGGCGAGTCGTGGTGGATCTTGACGATATCCCGCCGGAGCTCCGCGTTCTTTGGGACGTACACGCACCCGCGGAACAGCAGAAGCCCTTGTTCGGCATTCCACTCCTCAAAACCCCTTTGCAGCCGGGGCGGCCCGAGGTCCTGCACCTTTTCAAGTGCCTCGGCCACCTCCCGATCCTTTTCCGAACATTCCCTGATGCGCTTCAGAAGCGACTGATCAGCTGTCACCGAGGCGTGACCGCGCCGGGCGGAGGCGATGCGGAAGCGCTCTGGCTTGAGAACCACCTGATCGGTGTTATCGTCCTCATCGCCGATCTGATGGTCTGATCGACGCGACAGGGCATCAGCCTTTCCATTGGACGTCCCGGCCTTGTGCGTGATGCGGAAGTCGAAGCGAGCCAGGAACAGTGACCATCGCGCTTGACGACGCGTGAGGTGCTGTGACGTGCGCCAGTACTCGAGGTTCTTGTGATCGGTTACGATCTCGAACTGATTGGGTAACCCCTCGAGATAGTGGCGCCAATCGTCCAGTGCTTCGATGATCGCAAGCATCTCCTTGTCGTAGATCTCGTAGTTCCGCTGTGCCGGATCCATCGCATGGGATCTGAAAGCAATGGGATGCCACTTGCCGTCTTCCTGCTTCTGCATCAACACGCCGCCGGTGGCGTAGCCCGAGGCGTCAACCTCAATGCGCGTCTCTCGGTTAGGATCGTACAGCGCTAGGACGGGAGTCGTCGCGAAGAGCCGCTTGAGCTCGTCGAAGGCGTGCTGCTCCTCTTCGCCCCAATGCCATGGGTCATTCCCTGTGAGCCGGTCGAGTGGTCGCGAGATCTTAGCGAAGTCCTTAATGAAGCGGCGGTAAAAGTTGGAGAACCCCCGGAACTTCTGAACATCTTTCTTGTTCCGGGGTACCGGCCACTCATTAATTCCTTTTAGCTTTGCGGGATCCATCGCCACCTCATCGCCACCGAACACATAGCCGACATAGTCGACCTTGGGAACATCCCATTCGCATTTCTCAGGCTTCAGGAATAGATCGTTGTCCTGAAGGCGACGAAGAACCTCGCGTGTGACCTTCTCGTGCTCCTCCTTGTTGGTAGAGAAGATGAGTATATCGTCCAGATACACGAGAACCTTGCCACCGACGATGAGATCATGGAAGATCTCGTTCATCATCGCCTGGAAGGTTGCAGGGGAATTGGTGAGGCCGAAGAACATCACCAGGGGCTCGTACAACCCTCGGTTAGTTACAAACGCCGCCTTCCATTCGTCACCGGCTTTGATCCGGACGTTATTGTATCCCCATCGGACGTCGAACTTTGTGAAGAGCGTAGCGCCGCGAAGCTTATCCACCATCTCGGCGATCAACGGCAAGGGGTAACGATTTTTGACCGTGATCGCGTTCAATCGGCGGTAGTCTTGTACGGGTCGAAGTGTCCCTTCCTTCTTTTTGATGAAGAAGAAGGGGGACGAGATAGGCGACTTCGATTCCCGTATATAGCCCTTCGCTAGCTGCTCCTTTAGGAACTTATCGAGTTCCTCCTGCTCGTTGTTCGATAATGGGTACACCTTCGAATGGAACGTTGAGTAGCCGGGCACGAGTTCGATCGCATGATCGTAAGGCTTCCTTTCGGGTAGCCGTTCTGATGCTTCCTTGGAGAAGACATTCAGGAACTCGTGGTACTGTTTAGGTACCGACTCCTCAGCGGTCTTAACGACCTTCTTCTTGATCTCCTCCTCAGCGAACAGCTGGGAGTACGTGTGCCCTGCTGCAACGAATAGCTGAGGGGCGCCGGGAAGCGTGACGCCTTGCTCCCAGGCTTCGATCAAGTCAGCCTCATCCCACTCTACTTCCGCCGGATCTTCTTCGGGTTCGAAGTCCGGGAGTACCTTACTCCGGCAAGCGCCTATAACCGACCGTTTGGGCTTCGGCGAACGCCTGCGCGCCGTGGGCCTGACCCCCGTATCACGCGCAGTCGTTGCTTGCTCCATTCGGCCAATCCTCCTGGCACTGCACGTTTCAGGGCATCGCGACAATCTGAGGGAGCCTGTCTCCCAATTGATCTCGGGGTTGTGTTCCCGCAGCCAATCCAACCCGACGATCACCTCTTCTGGACCGATGTCCGTGACCGTGAACACCGTCTTCTCAACGTGTTCTCCTATCTGCATCTGTAGCACTGCTACCTCCGAGATGCTTCCGTCTTTATTGAGCGTTCCATCGATATTGTAAAGCGGAATTGGCTCTTTCAGTTTCCGCGTTCGTACTCGATTCTCCGTGATGAAACGCTTGTTGATGAACTTCGTGGTGGCTCCGCTGTCCACCATTGCAACTATATCCTTGTGCCGTCTTTCTCCTTTGAGGCGCACCGGGATGTGGAAATGCTGGGACCCATGGTCCAACTCGTACACATTCGCAGCCGCCAATACATTGTACAGATTATTATTACGCGGCCCGACGCGTGCGGCACGAAGCGCGGACCGGATCAAAAAGACTCCTCCTTCATCGCCCGATAGTGTTCGAGCTCCTCGCGCATCGACTTCATCTGTGCTACTAAGTCCGCCAGCTCGGAACTTTCCGATTTCGCTGAAGCGGCGCTTATACTCGCCGAGGATGAAGCGACGGGGGCGCTTGTCGCGGCCTGGGTGGAACCCGAGGCAACCGTAGCCCGCGCATCGGCGCGTTTTGTGTAAGGCCTGTCCTTACAGTTGGGGCACTCGAAACGTCGGTACCCTTGCTTCCCACAGCCAAAGCATGTGCCAGGGAAGTCTCCTTTTCCGACGGCCGCGTTGATACTGGCCGAAGCTCCATGTGACGAGGGTGCACCACCACGTGCCCCACCGCGACCTCGACCTCGGGCCGAGAAGAAGTTGTTCAGCTCGGGCCGACGGGCCCGGCTGATGTCGAGGATCTGCTCGACCTCAGTGGCTCGCTTTTCAGCGGCTCGCCACGTGGCGAAGGTCTCGAGCTCGATCTTGCGATATACGCGGGAGGGGATACCGCTCAGGTACTTGTCGCGTAGTTCCAGGTCCCCATACCCGGAACGGTCCGCCGGACCCTTGAACAGTGCGGAGAACTCCGCAGCGGTGCGTTTTTCGCGGACCGACTTGTCCGCACAGAGCTTCGCCAGCTCTACTTGCGCTGCTGCCGCATCGTCGAGATTACCAAAGCGAGCCTTGAAGGCAGCGGTGAAGGCCGCTTCGTTCCTGAAGGGGGTTGTAACCCCTTGCACACCCATCTGCACCGATGCGAGTTGGGCGAAGTAAGGCGTGGCCCAGGCGCGGGCGTCGCCATCGAGTAGGCTCAGCGCAACTTGTACCTTGAGCTCAATGGTTGTCAACGACGTGTTGATCAGCCAATAGATACGTAGTTGCGACAGGAACCTGTCGCATTCGATGACGGTTTTGCCGTCATAGCGGAGGGGGAGAAGGAGCTTCAGGGTCTCCTTGTCGGGGGCGGTCGAGGGGGAAGACATTATCGGCGTCGGGGGGGACGGAGGACGCTGCGGGGGCGGAGGCGGCTGTGGTGGCCTTCCGCTGGCCGAACTTCGAGAGGAGCGAGTGCTCGAGCGGCCTCTCGGCGGAGTCGGCGGTGAAGGCGCCGAAGGAAGTTCGGCGGGGGGGTCACGTACGTCAGGGACTGCTGACGCGGGGGCGAGCGCTGTCGGCGAGGTGGACCCAACAGAATCCTCGGACTCGGACTCCGAGATTCCTTCTTCACCCGTATCCTCCTCAGGCTCAGGCTCTGGCGCAGGGTCTGGAGGGAGATCTCCTCGTACTTCACTTGGGCCGGCGACGACAGTTTGAGGGAGTCGGGAGCTGGGGGAGACAGGGCGGGAATGCCGCGAGGCGGAGCGAGACGCGAGGGTACTTCGGGGGCCGAGCGGATGTTGCGCTCGTCGGATCGCCTTGTAGCGCGGGTAATCTTCCGCGATTGATCGGGGTGTCCGGTTGGGACACGGCTGCTGCTCACAGCGGTAGATGACAGTCTCAGGGCCGTCTGGGATGTAGACGTCGATGAGGTCCTGCGAGTCGAATGCGTGAACTTGGCCTAGGCAGGCAGCCACGTTGGATGGGGGGAGGACGGGGAGGTGCGCGTACTACAATGGCCGTGCTATACTAGCTTACGCTACGGCGCCCGAGAAGACACTAGGGTTCGCAGTTCACGTGGGGCCCAGTACTGCTTTTGACTATTATGCAGCAGGAACCTAGTCCACGCGTCCGTGAGGACAAGTACCGCCCACTGAAGTGCAGGTACTGAAGAGTTCGTTCCCTAAGTGGTGGCGATGTATGTACGCTATCTACGTATCGTAATGTACCGTAGGGGTGCGCACCACCCGACCTGTGGGAAAGGAAAGTGAATATAAGGGGTCCCGAGGGGACGCCGGCAGCTTGGGGAGTTTCGACCTAA